GAGGCTGGCAGACACCCCCACTGGGGAGCCAAGACAGACGTGTGGACTAGAGGAAGAGGGTAAGGTCAGGGATGCAGGGGCCCATCTCCCCTCCCAACAGTGTCCTTGTTCCAAACACAAGGTGGACTTGAGCAAAGGAGGCAAAGCTGAGGAGAGAGGGGCCTCTCTTAGCTGAGTACTGACTGCACGTCTGTCATTGTGTCAGGAGGGGACTTCATCGGCCACAGGCACACACACACACACACACACACACACACACACACACACACATGCACGCACACATGCACACGTGCACACAGGCACACCCCTGGTAGACCAGGGATTCAAGGAAGGAGGGATGGAGTTTCCTGCCCAAAACCACACTGAGGGTTCGTCTGACTGTAGAGTCCACATTCTTCCTGCCCTCCCTCTGGAGGGAACACGGTGGATGGTGTCCTACCATCCAGCAGATGGGAGGAGGGAGGGGCTGCAGGGAAGGGGAGAGGTGGAAGAGGGCGAGGGGTAAGCAGGATGCTCGGTTCAGGCCTGGCCAAGGGCACAGCTTTTTGAAACTGAGACTCCTAGGGGAGGAACTAGGGAAAAGATGAGGGAATAAAGTGTCAGGGTGAAAGGGCTACCAATCAGGAGAGGCTTCCTGGAGGAGGCAAATGTGGAGCACAGCCAGCCAGGGGGCAGACGCCAGCAGGAGAGGACTGGTGAGAGTCAGGAAGGAGAACGGGTTGGCCTGCCTCCCCGGAGCCAACACTAGGGTGTCACGGGGGAGGAGGGCTGTCATAGAAGAAGAGGGGCTCCATCCACCTGAAGGAAGGACTACCTTTTGCTCATTGTCACAAGGCACCAAATGAGACAGCAAAAGCCCTAAGCCCCGCCCAGGGAGGGCTAACCAAACCCCAAGCTCCCACCACATCCAGCTGAGCCACCTCTCTCTCTCTCTGTCTCTCTCTCCCACCCTCCTCGCCTCCCAGGTACGAAGACGAGATCTCCAAGCGCACAGACATGGAGTTCACCTTCGTCCAGCTGAAGAAGGTAGCCTGCCCGGGCTCCTTCCTCGGGGACCCTCTGCCCGCTTTCCCTCCAGATCCCCCAGCAAAGCCCTCAGAGGCTTGAGTCCCAAAACCACAGAGATACCTGCCCCACCTACTCTGAGTCAGGTCTCCCCTGGGACTCGCCCCCCTCTGACCCAGGAAGCAAAGGCCCCCACCCCACTCCCGCCCTGGGACCCCCGACTCCCTCTCCCATCACTCACCACGGCTCCCACCCCCAGGACCTGGACACAGAGTGTCTTCGACGGACCGAACTGGAGACCAAGTTGAAAAGCCTGCAGAGCTTCGTGGATCTGATGAAAACCGTCTATGAGCAGGTGAGGAGACAGGGCGGTGTCCTGCCGAGCCACGAGCCGACTGGTCCACGGCTAGGGCTGCAGGGGCGGGAAGGACGTCCAGCGGGGCGTGGAACCTTCACAGTCACTCGCTGTTTCCGGCCACAGCTGTAACTGTTTCCTAGCCCCTTCTTGCACGGCTGTCAATCATCCAACCTGTCCCTCGTCATGTATTTCATGGAGCAGGGGCAGGTAGGGTCCCCCAAGGCCTCTCTCAGGGACCACCCGTGCCTTCCTTGTGCTGAGGGCACGCGGGGACCAGGTGCATCTGGACAAGGGTCAGGAGTTGGCCTCAGAGCGGGGAACCAGGGGGCCTGGAGCAGCCACTCCTACTGGACGATCTCCCTCTGTCCCGGCAGCCTGACTGCAGGTCCCCCGGTTCCAGCTCTGATAGCCACGCGCTTCACCCTTCCCTGTTCCGAGCCAAGGCAGGGGAGGCCTGGAGTCAGGTTCTCTGGTTCCAAGACAATACCAGCTTCTACCAAACAAAAATGACCCAGTAAATGCAGACAGAGCAGCCTCCAGACACACTGTCGTTTGTCCCTAAGTCCTCAGCTGAGCCTGGGGGGACAATGGCCCAGCAAGGCCTAGCGCAGAGCCAGTGTAGTCAGCAGACGGGCCCTGCTGCTGGCTTCTGGGCGCTGCCCGTCCTCGCCACTCTGCCTCCTGGCATCCTTTGGGATATGTGTTCTCCTCTCCACACCTCCTGTTTCAGGGGTGAGAAGTTGCAGGGGTGATGCTTCCATTCAGCTATGAGCAGGCAGCACCAATGCTGGGGATGACAGGACGTGGCAGCCTGCATACTGCAAACAGCTGTGCCAAGCTCTGGCAATGCAGCCAAGGCCAGAGCAGGGATCAAAGGCACCACAGTCAGAAAGTTCTGCTGCTGGGGATGACAGGACGTGGCAGCCTGCATACTGAAAACAGCTGGTGCCAAGCTCTGGCAACGCAGCCAAGGCCTAGAGCAGGGATCAAAGGCACCACAGTCAGAAAGTTCTGCTAAAATGGTCCTAGGGGCTGCTGACCACAACTTCACAGCCTCCTCCTGTGGGAGGGAGGAGGTATCAGAGCTACACAATTCTCTGCCCAAATTCACTGTGGGTGCAGCCGAGGAAGACATCAGCAGGGCCAGTGTTTCCGAATCTGACCTCAATGCTGCTCACCCCAGAGCCCAAACTCAGAGCCAGGCCAGAGGTCCTACAAGTATGGAGCTATGGCTGGAGGAAGGCCAGGCATAACCAGACGTATATCTGAGCGGAGCATTGCGGAACTGCTTGGCTCCTGTTCCGTTTAGACGTTGCAGCCCTTGGACCCCAAGCCTGACTCTTGCTCTTTACCATTTCTATGGCTTTGGACAAGTTATTTCTTCGCTCTGTGCCTCGGTTTCCTCGCCTGTAAAGAGGGGAAAGTAACAGTAGCGGGCTCGTAGGCTTGTGATGAGGGCTAAAGCCAATTCATCCATCTAACACATGTGTACTCGGGGCCTGCCGATGCCAGACACTGCCATCACAGCAAGCCAGCAAGACGGCCAGAGTGCCTGCTCTCAGGGGTGCAGCTCAGCTAAGAGGGGACAGTAATAAGCAACTAAACAAACATCTGAAGGAAGATCCTTTTGGAGAGTGAGAAGTGCTGGGCTGCAAAGAAGCCAGTGATGCAATCATGCTGGAGGGAGGGGAAAGCTTTAGACCCCAAGGTCAAGGGGCATCTCCGAGGAGGTGCAAGCGAGAGGAGGCCAAAACCAGGAAAATCCAGCCCAGTGGAGACTCGAGGAGGCTTCGGGCAGAAGGAAGAGCTGTGCAAAGCACCAAGAGCAGAAGTGAGTTTGGTGATGAAAGCAAAGAAAGAACCAGGGCAGAGCGGGCAGGGCCAGATCATGCAGGGCTTGGACCCAGAGCCGGGCTCTGGACCTTATTCTAAGTGTGCTGGGTGGCCTTGGGGGGTGGGGTACCTGCGGAGGGTGCTGCAGAGCGGGGGAGGGCTCGGCTGTGCTGGTGAGAGCCGCAGGGGCTCAGCTCAGAGCCGACACTGGCACTTTGGGAGGCAGCGAGGTGAAGGTGTTAGGAAGCGAGGTCTGCGCTGCAGGCTGAGGAGGCAAGACTGACTCTTCGCTAAAAAGATCCCCCACACAGTGAGCCTCTATGGCGGCACTAACAGAAACATAGTGAGCCACATGTGTCATGCGTACATAATTTTATACATACTAGTAATTATGTAATTTAATATGTAATTTTAAGTTTTCTAGTAGCCACATTATTTTAATAAAAGGAACAGAAAAAAATAATTTTAATAATACATTTTATTTAGCCCAGTATATCCAAAATATGATTATTCAACATGTGATCAATATAAAAAAATTAACGGGCTATTTTTGTTCCTCATATTAAGTCTTCAAGATCCTATGTGTAGGTTATACTTACAGCCCACCTCAATTCTGACTACATATAGCTAGTGGCCACCGCATCCGGTAGAGCAGGTCTAAGCAAAGGCAGGGGCAGCCATGGCCACCTCAGGGGGAAGAAAAACATGGCAGACGTGAGACGCCCCAGGAGGGCTGGACACGCTGCTTTCAACTCTGGAGCAGATACCAGAGCAGCAAAGCATGGGCTACTTGTGTAGGCTCACCTCTGTGTCCCCAAAAACAGCCCTCTCCTCTCCCCAAAACACACACACACACACACACACACACCCCACACACACACCACACACCACACACCCCACACCCCACCCACACACACACACACCACATACACACACACACCCCACACACACACCACACACCACACACCCCACACCCCACCCACACACACACACACCACATACACACACACACCCCACACACACACCACACACCACACACCCCACACCCCACCCACACACACACACACCACATACACACACACACCCCACACACACACCACACACCACACACCCCACACCCCACCCACACACACACACACCACATACACACACACACCCCACACACACACCACACACCACACACCCCACACCCCACCCACACACACACACACCACATACACACACACACCCCACACACACACCACACACCACACACCCCACACCCCACCCACACACACACACACCACATACACACACACACCCCACACACAGATAGGCCTGCAGGAGCCAAAGGCCAGGCACTGCTTGGGGCCCCATGTACACACTGCATCCTTCTGGGCAGTCCCCCTGCCCCTCACCTCCAGGCACAGGCTGGTGAGAGAAGCCTAGGCTGACAGAGGCTCGCATTCCCCCTCAGCTACCAAAGTGCATTCCAGATCCTGAGCGTACGTGGGGCCTGGTTGCAGCCAGCCAGAACGCCGCCTGCCCCACCCATAAACTCGGGTTCCAGGGAGATTAGCTACATCTGAGGACACCCCCCTGCAGCCAGGCACACCTCCTGGGAGCAGATTGCTGCAAAGGGAACCTGCTGAGTCTAAGCCGCTTTGGCGCCTGCCCTCGTGGTGCCTTGGGGAGTCGGCTGCTCTGCCCTGGACACTTCCTTGGCTCCGTCGCCTTCACAAGTTACGAAAATATCCCCGGCTACTGTTTACTGAGGGCCTTCTGTATCCCCGCACCGTGTACGCACCTTCCAGGCATAATCTCACTTAATCCTCACAACTCTATGAGGGAGGGATAATGATTAACGTCAGAGCAGCTTGGAATTGAATCCTGGCTCAGTAATTATGTGAACTCAGCAGGTTCTTTTATCGCTCCATGCCTCAATTTCCCCATCTGCAAAATAGGAGAATAATAGCACCTACCTCACGGGCCTGCTGTGAAGATTTATTTTGTTACTATATCCCAAAACCCTTAGAACAGTGTCCGGCACATGGGAAGTATTTGTAAACATTAGCTGTTTTCAGTTCTAATATTATGCCCATTTTACAGATGAAAAAACCAAGGCTCAGAGAGGTTTAAAAACTGGCCAGGGTGCCGAAACCGGTTTGGCTCAGTGGATAGAGCGTCGGCCTGCAGACTGAGGGGTCCCAGGTTCGATTCCGGTCAAGGGCATGTACTTGGGTTGCGGGCGCGTCCCCAGTGGGGGATGTGCAGGAGGCAGCTGATCGATGTTTCTCTCTCATCGATGTTTCTAACTCTCTGTCTCTCTCCCTTCCTCTCTGTAAAAAATCAATAAAAAAAATTTAAAAAAAAAAAAAAAAAAAACTGGCCAGGGTTACCCAGCTTATAAGAGGTGGTGGCATTCAGAGCCCAGTGCCCTTACTACATTTTACTGAGCACTACTAAGTGAGCCCTCAGACCTGGGGGCCACAAGGAGCGTGGTCACCCAATCCCCGTGGCAGCTCCTCAGCCTCTGGCTCCCTAGAGAAGCTCTAAACCAGCCGTGGGCAAACTACGGCCCGCGGGCTGGATCGGGCCCGTTTGAAATGAATAAAACTAAAAAAAAAAAAGACCGTACCCTTTTATGTAATGATGTTTACTTTGAATTTATATTAGTTCACACAAACACTCCATCCATGCTTTTGTTCCGGCCCTCCGGTCCAGTTTAAGAACCCATTGTAGCCCTCGAGTCAAAAAGTTTGCCCACCCCTGCTCTAAACTGTACTTCGGCTTAATTCTTGCCAACTTGGAGGTGACATCCTCCTAGGGCCCAGCCCAGGGTGGCACTGCCACACCACACAAGGCAGCATTGTTCTACCCTGTGCAGCCCCGTGGGCTGGCATGTCTGAACAGGCCTGCAGATGTCCTAAACCCTCCATTTCCTGCTTCTGTTTACCAAGCTCCTGCATACCCTGCTCCATCAGCGGTTTTGCCAGTCCTTTGCCCTGGTGGGGGAGCCCTCCTACTGTGTGTTTTGACAGTGCCCTGGCCTGTTCCTGAACCGAAACAAATGCCAACCTAGGCCAGAGCTAGCAGTGCTAATAGAGGGCCTTATGCAGAACCCGCTGACCCCCACCACCTGGTGACCGAAGACCCCAAAGCTGCATCTCTGAAACTGTCCCCAGCCGAGCAGGCCTGGCCGGGATGTTGGTTCCATGTGGGAAATGTCAGTCTCTGCTGGTAACCGGGGCAGCAGAGGTGGGTGTGAGTCTGTGGGCACCATTAACCTTATTCTGGCACGGGGTGGGCCCTTCCTTGCCTTTGACCCGTGATCTCTGTTCATGTGAAGGTCAACCAAAACCCCTTGTAAGGAGACCCCCTAAAGGGCAGCTGGCCACTGGGCTCAGGGTCCTGCAGCTTCGAGGCCGAGACAGGATGCTCCCCGAGAGGCTGCCGGATGCCTGCTCTGCCCAAGCTCCCTTTCCCGGAGCCCATCCTTGTCACCAGGGATGCTAGTGGGCGGAGCTGGACAGCGAGCAGACAGGGGAGGGGTGGCTCGCTCAGCGGCCCCCGTGGCACTAGCTGACCCACCCGGGCCCTGCATTCTATGGCTACAGGGGTACGAGCTGCAGGTCAGAGGCACCTGCCTCAGCAGGTATAGACTCCAGAGGCTCAAACACAACCTCTCTGAGCATAGAGACAGATGGAGGGTCAAGGAGGGGGCCCAAAGTCAGGAGACAGGGTCAGAATTCGGTCATGAGCCAAAACCGAACCTGGATCGGAGCAGACCTCCAGTTCCAATGCCAGTTTTTAGAAACGCAGCGGGCAGAGGTGCGTGCTAAACACCAGCACACAGAGCAATCCGTAAAATGCCGACTGTGGGGGTGCTTCCAGGCAAGCAACCCAGTGTTCTCAATTTTAAAAAATAGTAAGAAAAAACAAAACAGAGAGAGATGGCAGGGGTATCTGCGTCTACGGTAAGAGAGACTTAGGGACATATGGCCCAGTCGCAGTATATGCACTTTGTTTGGATCCTGATTCAAACAAACAAGTAAAAATATAAATATATCAGAAAAATGACATCACTGAACAAAATCTGATGCCTGAAGGAGAGGTCAAGGATGGACTGTGAGTGCCAGTAGGAGTAACGACATCTGCACCCCACACCCTCCCTCCTCCGGGAGAGCTTCGCCCCCACCGCCTGGCCCCACTCCCGGCCTCTAGGAGCCTTGGCCACCTGACTCACTCTGTACAATGCTGGCCTCCTCCTCCTTCCCACTGGGCCCGCCCCCCCACCACCACCCTCCCTCCCCAACAGGTGCCAGCAGTTCTTCAGCACCTCCAGGGAAAGCAGCCCAGGGCCAGAGAGGTGACACCTTGCAGCCCCTTAGGAAGACCCCTGTCCCACCTGCTTCTACACACCCCTGAGCATTCAGGCCAGGACTGTCAGGTGTGACAGAAAGAGCCAGTCTGGGGCTAGAAGGACAGCGGCTTCCCCTCCTGTCTCTGCCCCTCTAAGGGAGCTTAGCAAGAGCCGCAAAGTGCATTCCCAGTGTCCCCATAACCTCTGTGCTGGGCTTCTTTCCTGTCTGTGATCTGGGCTCACACTCCTGCAGGCCGGGTGAGGATGAGATGCGAGCTGCCCAGAGGGCACTCAGCACACGGCCGGGCCTGGGTGAGCCCCTGGGAAAATGGGAGGCTTTACCACTTTGGGTCTCTGAGGATGGAGGCATTTCCTGAGCAGAGAGGAGGAACAGAGAGGATCCTACAGGATAGGGAGAAGAGGGAAATATTGAGGTTGAATCCCATTGTCATTGTTGCCAGGCAAGCCCCTCAGCTGGATGGGGAGGGGCCAGCCCGTTTCAGGTGACCTTGATGTCACCTGGCCTCAGGTGGGGAGTATAGGCTTGTCAGTCTCTAGGCCCACTTCTGCCCTCATCATTCTAGGGTTTCTATTCCAACATTTATCAACAAACTGAGATGCTCCCTTACCAGATGTGGAGGGCCTGGAGCTGAAATGGTTCTGCCAGACCCTCAGGGAGCTCCCCATCTAGGGGGGAGGGATCGCGAGGGGGTGGGGAGGGGGGGTGCTAAGCTGCTTCGAGCCACAATGGTGCAACATGAGCAGAGCGAACAGCTCCCCCAGGCCCAAATGTCCTGGGCTGCTTCCCCATCGGCCAGGAGGAAGGTGTGCACCCTGCGGTGGGCCACAGTGCAGAGAGCGGGGAAAGTGAAGGAGAATAAGGCTGTAGGGTAGGCCTGGAGCCAGGAGTCCTCCCTGTGCCCCTCTCCTCTGCGAAGCGAGGAAGGCCCAAGGGTGGGCAAGTGGGGGGCGAGCTGCTTTCCCAGAGTGCAAGCTGGGAGGCATTCATGCTTCAATTGTCTCTCCAGGAAGACAGATAGCCTCCCCTCCCCTCACCTTGGAGATAAAGGGACTATGGGGTGTCCCCCACCAGCCCTGAACCCCCACGTCTGTGCCGCCAGGAGCTGAAGGACCTGACAGCCCAAGTGAAGGACCTGTCAGTGACCGTGGGCATGGACAGACGCTGCCACATCGACCTGAGCGGCATCGTGGAGGAGGTGAAGGCCCAGTACGACGCCATTGCGGCTCGCAGCCAGGAGGAGGCTGAGGCGTACTCCCGGAGGCAGGTTCGTGGCGGACCACAGGGTGGGAGAGGCCGCCAGGGCAGCAGGGGCTGCACTAGGGATGGCTGAGGCTCCTTCAGGTGTGTGCTGAGATCCGGCGGGGGGGGGGGGGGGGGGGGCGGGGGAGGGAGCAGCCAGGTCCAGGCAGGCATGGAGAATTAGAGAGCTCGGCGTTGTGCTGGGCCCTGAGGGTGATGTGGGCCAAGAGAGCCCACAGTCTGTTCCCTCCAGAAGCTCAGGGTGGTGCTGCCCCCAGCAATGCCAGGCCAGGCGTGGGCACAGCTTGTGCGGCTCAGTCTAGGGCAGCCAGCAGGAGGACGTGGTGGGCAGGACAGGGCGTAGGAGCGAGGAGGCTGGGGTGAGAGGAAAAGGAGCAGCAAGGAGTGAGAAGGAGTGAGAAGCAGGGTGCTGGGGGGGGGGGGCACAGTGAGCAGATCTTGCCCACCACCCCCTCTCCGCCCTCCAGCTGGAGGAGCGGGCCGCCTGCTCAGCCGAGTTTGGGAACAGCCTCCAGAGCAGCCGCAGCGAGATTGCTGACCTCAATGTGCGCATCCAGAAGCTCCGATCCCAGATCCTCTCCGTCAAGAGCCACGTGAGTCTGGAGGACCCCCTGGGGGTAGGAGCAGGGAGGAACACAGGGACACATGTTCTCTCCCTCTCTCTCTTTCTCTTCCTCTTTCTCCCATCCCCTCCCCCCCCCCCCCCCCTTGCTCACACACATATACACACAGGCTCACTCATGCATGCTGAGTACATGCAAGAGGAAGTGGCCTAAGTGGCCTGCAGGTCACTTAGCACCTCTTTGCCTCCGTTCCCTCCCCTGCTCTACGAGATGGCTGTGAGGATCACATGATCTCTGCCTGTGAGAGGGCTCTGTGGACTGGCCAGGGCTGCTGGACTGTTAGAGAGCCCCCGCCACACACACCCAGAGCCTGCCACCTCCCGCCAGCCACGCAGAGAAGGGAGTGGTGGGTCTTCAAAGAAGGGCGGCTGGGACAGGTGGCCTCTTTGGTGGCCTCCGGACAGTGTCTCCTTAGGTCTCTCTGAGCTCCCTGATGCTGCAGTGCAACCCATTACCACACCCGGGAACGGACTGCTTAGCCCTCCCTCCCCACACGCACCCGTGAGGTGGGCTCCTGGCCCCGGCCCACTCTCTCCCTCTCAGCCCTGCTCGCTGACCCCTTCCCTCTGTCCTCCTGGCTGCAGTGCCTGAAACTGGAGGAGAACATCAAGGAGGCCGAGGAGCAGGGTGAGCTGGCCTTCCAGGATGCCAAGGCCAAGCTGGCCCAGCTGGAGGAGGCCCTGCAGCAGGCCAAGAAGGACATGGCGCGGCAGCTACGAGAGTACCAGGAGCTCATGAACACGAAGCTGGCCCTGGACATTGAGATCGCCACCTACCGCAAGCTGGTGGAGGGCGAGGAGAGCAGGTGAGGGGTGGGGACAGCGGGGTGGGGCTGAGGGAGAGGGAGAACTAGAGAACCAGCGCCACACAAAGCCAGCCTCCCCCTCCAGCGCGATCCTGTGAGCCTGGCAGGCCTGGGTTCATGTCCTGGCTCAGCCACTTACAAATTGAGACGTTGGCCCGGCTTCTTAAAGTCTCAGTTTTCCCATCTGGCAAATGGGCTGATCATAAACATGCTCCACCTGTGGTGAGGAGGATTGGTGATTCTGCATGCAAATGCCTGTCACAAATAAGCACTCAGTAAAAGTTAGCCATTTATAGAAGGGAGAGGGGACAGAGGCCCAGAGAGGACATGCTGGTGAGCCAGGGTCACACAGCAGGGCAGCCCAGGGCTGGGGATGACAACCAAGAATTGCCCTCTACCTGCCAGTCCCCACGCCCCAATCCCAGAGGGATAAGCCACAGGCTCCCTTCACATCCCTGCCTCCCCCTCCTTTCCCAGGATGGACTTGGCTCCGGCCGCTGTGGTCAGCACTGTGCAATCCAGACCCAGGACTGGTGAGTCTATTTGCCCCACAGAGGAGAGGGGGACAGGGTGTGGGGGTCATGACCCCAAAGGCATCCTTTTAAGTGGCCCCCACACCTCCAGCCCCTTCCCTCCCCCACCCCTTCTGTTCCCTGTAGCTGCCTCCAAGTCCCACCTGGCCAGAGCCCCCTTCCGGAAGAAGAAGAACAGCAGAGGCCCCGTGATCAAAATCACCGAGATGTCAGAGAAGTTCCTCCTGCAGGAGTCAGAGGCCTCCGAGTGAGGCAGCTGGACACCAGGAGCCCCAAGTCACCCTGCAGCAGGAGAGACTGGAGCCAGACTCAAGAAAGCTCTTCAGAGCCTCTAGGTTGCAAGGGGAGGCAAACCTGATTCTGAACTGAGAAGAGCTCAAACAATGAGTGTTGGGACTGTCCACCAGCTTTTCAAAGTCACTCCACTCGGCATCAGCATCTCACAACCCACTCTTCCAACCTCTGGCCAGCGGCTTCCTGACGGGGTAAACGGGAAGTGGGATCAGTTTTATCTCCACCTCCTCACTCCTCTGAGACTCCTCCCCAACAGAGGGCTCTGAGCAGGTCCTTTGACCCTTTTGCCCAACCCTTGCCCTAAACTCACATCTCAAGCCTCGCCTCGCCTCGCCTCGCCTCGCCTCAAACTCTGTGCAAGGCCGGTGCCCTCATTCACCCAGACCCAGCCATGGACCAGGGACAGTGAGGATTGCTTATCCCCCTCCCAGTATCCAGAGTTTGGGGGGGGCTGGGTGCCCTGGCTTTCCTGCACCACCTGGGCTCCCCAGAGATCTGACAGTATTAGGGAGTGAGGGAAGGAGGCTCCCTGGGCGTTTGGGACCTGAGCCTGGACCTCTGAGATCAGCCCAGACACCTGTGCCCTCCCTCCTCCTGCGGGATCCTCCCAGCAGGTCACACAGAAAAGGACAGGCTGCCCAAGCAGCTCCCGGCACCTTCTCCAGAAGCTATTCTTGCCATGATGAACTCCCTGGTGGGGGAGGCTGGACGGCAGCCTGGGCCCAGGCGGCAGAATCTGATCCTCCCTTCCCCTCCCAGCATCCTGGGGTTCGCCACCCTGCCTGGGACCTCAGCTCTCCACCCCTCCCCTGCCTCCCCATCCCGCATAGGTGTTTCCCAGCCTGAAACCTGGCTTTGGTGTACCAGCTCCTAGCCCCACCCCTGCCATGAAACCCTAGGTCCATTTCCCATGGATCCCTTCTCAGCGTCTCTGTTCTCCCCATCAAGCCAAACAGCCTGGCCCTGCCCTCCTCTGCACTCATTGAGGAGCCCAGGGGCACCCCATCCCTGTGGGGTCAGAGCTCCTCCTTTTCTTCCCCCTCTGCCCTCCGCCCTCCATGTCCATTCCCCTGGCTCCGGCGGGGCCATGATGAAGGCACAGTCCAGGAAGGTCTGGGACCCTCTGAGCTCCTGTGGTCAGTCAGTCGGGCTGGGGAGCCCCAGTGACAACCAAAGAGAAATTCTGCGTCCAACAAGATGTGGGGCCCCTCTTCCTTCCTCTTGGCTTTTATCTTTGTAGATTGCAGGGGATCTTGGCAGCTTTAGCCTCCCCTCCTCTCTCTCTCCCTCCCTTCTCCCTACCTGCCCTTGCCTCCCCTCCTCTTCTAGCCCCGCTCTTTGATTCATTCATCTCCTTTTCCAGGAGGCCTTGGCTCCTCTGAGGGCTCAGGTCTTCCAGGCCTGTCGGGGGCGCTGAAGGGCTACTGACTCAGGCTGGAGGGAACTCGGACACACCCATCCTGAGATCCCAATGGGTGCTGATTGCTGCTTTTTCTCCGCCTATTTATTGGTTTCCAAGGGAGCAAATCCTCAGTAGGGATACAAGATACATAAAATATATATATATTATTTTTTCATAACTTATGTGGCTGTTAACTTATTGCTTCCCTTCCTTTTCTGCATAATCAGTGCTATATACCATTTGAATAGATAACATATCCTAGCCACCCCACCCGACTGGCTGGCCACCTGGGGGCAACGTCCCCTTCTCCCTGCCAAGGGATGAATAAAGTACTGAGATTTGTTCACGGCTAAAGCTATGTGCCTATTTGTATCTCCCCTCGGGATTGCTCAGTCACTGGTCACACAAGTTGCCCACGGGACTCTGGGAATTCTCCAGTTATGGGGAAAAGGCGTCAGGTACCTAGTTACACCTTCCGGCCAATGCGACTTGGACACGGAAGGTCTCCCGCCCCACCATCCTACAAGGAGGCTGCACCAGTGTTGACCTACATTCCCAGTGCCTCCTGACAGGTCCAGGCACCATGTGGCTGCCTTAGCAAGCATAGAAATGAGGGATTCTTCCAAGTGGTATCGGGTTCCCTCTCCAGCACGACTCTGAGGGTTGGCCAGAATCTGTTCTGATGGGTACAGGCCTAATCCTGCCAAGTCAAATTCTAGATCCACAGACAAGAATTGAGGACCTTCTCCAAGCCCAGCCCTGCGCTGGGATACCCACAATTGTTCTCCACCCCCTCCACCTCAGGGAGCTCACAGTCAACTGAGAGAGAACTTCTCTGCTCAAGATAGCCATTCTGGACTTCCTGGCCAAGTGAAGAAGGTCAAAGAAGAGAGGGGCTTGTGCAGGGGACCCAGGAATCAGAGCAGGCTTCTTGGAGGAAGTGGCCTTTAAGTGAGTGTGAAGGAGCTAGATAGACTGAAGGAAGAACCTGTGTCTCAAAGACAAGAATCTTGGGGGCAAAGTAGGGACTTTGAAGCACTGAGACCTCAGAAAAATGAGCCTCAGTTTCCTCATCTGTAAAATGGAGCATACACCTTCCCTACTTACCTAATAGGGCATTTGAGGATCTGACAATTGTTATGTTCATTCCTATCAGCAATAACACACCTCTTGTTTCCAGCACTCTGAACAGCTCTGCAAATGTGAAGGATTATTAGTGATGTTGTCATTGTTATTACAGCAGATATTATGGATTAAAGACAACCCACTGGTTGGTAGACCAAATACAGGCAAGAAAGCCTAGAGCTGGCTCTCCCGAGACTCAGGAGTGCCGGGTGAATAAACCACATTCCTATCCAGGAGGGGCCTAGAGCCAAATTAGCTCTCTACTTCTTTTATCTTTGTTTTGTATTCTATTTTCTATTCTAATTTCTGAATTATGAATTTATAAATACTAATTTGAATTTCTGAATTTCATAGTCAAAAATACATAACACATTGCTCTGGCTGGGTGGCTCAGTTGGTTGGAGCATCGTCCAGCACAACAAAAGGTTGTGGGTTCGATTCCTGGTTAGAACATATACCTAGGTTTCAGGTTCATCCCCAATAGGGGCATGTATGGGAAGCAACCAACTGATGTTTCTCTCTCTCTCTCTCTCTTTCCCTTTTTCTCTCTCTAAAATCAGTAACCATATCCTCAGGTGAGGATTGTTATTTCCTTCCTTCTCCTTTCTTTGAAATTATATTTTTTAATCATATTTTCATTGATTTCAGAGAGGAAGGGAGAGGGAGAGAGACACAGAAACATCAATGATAAGAGAGAATCATTTCATTGATTGGCTGCCTCCTGCACACCCCACGCTGGGGATCGAGCCTGCTACCTGGGCATGTGCCCTGACTAGGAATCAAACTGTGACCTCCTGGTTCATAGGCTGCCTCTCAATCACTGAGCCACGCCAGCCGGCTGAAATTATTCTTTTTATCATTGTTCAACTTCTTGAGTTGAATGATTTAATTTTCCATCTTTCTTCTTTTTTAATATAAGATACTCTGAAGACCATAAATTTCCTTCTAAGTACCCTTCTGACTGCTTCCTATCATTTTCAAATGTAGCATTTTTATTAGCATTTAGTTAAAATGATTTTATTCTTTGACTCACAAGTTATTTAGAAATTTTCCAAACATGGGTCATTCGTGTCACAAGCATTTATGAGCACATACGTAGTCTGTGCCTGGCGCTGCTCTAGATGCTTAGGGAGACATTACATTGTCCAGCGTTTATTTCTGTATCTTGGATTCCCTAATCCTCGATGTTAGCCATGCTTCAGTTGTCTATTTTTGTGCCTTCTTACCCCTAAGATTCTAAACTCCTTGGGGGCAGGATTGGATCCCATTACGTCCCCAGGGCCTTGCACAGTGCCTAGTAGGTTTTCAGTAAATGTATAATGAATGCCTGGCCAGTGTGGCTCAGTTGGTTGGGGGTCATCCCATGCACCAAAAGGTCGCCAGTTCAATTCTCCATAAGGAACATGCCCAGGTTTCGGGCTTGATCCCCAGTAGGGAGCAAGCAGGAGGTAACCAATGGATATTTCTCTCTTGAATTAATGTCTCTCTCTCTCTCTCCCTCCCTCCCTTCCTCCCTTCCTCTCTCTCTAAAAAGTCAATAAAAGCATATTTTTAAAATAAATGTAAAATGAATGAATGAATAATGTACCTTCCCAACTGAGGTGTCCTAGCCTAAAGGTCCCATGAAAGTAATTAATGCAATGCCTGACACATTGAAGGAACACAGTGAAGGAAGGAAGGAAGAAAGGAAGGAAGGAAGGAAGGAAGGAAGGAAGGAAGGAAGGAAGGAAGGAAGGAAGGAAGGGGAAGGGCAGGAAAGGGAAA